TGCTGATCTATAAACAAAGATGAAACACAGGGATTTTAAAGCAAATATGAACAACTTATTCTGGAATTGCTTACAAGCTGTCATCTAGCCAACTTATTTTTAGTTTATATTTAAAATGAATCATATGTTCCAAAATGACTGACAGAAACACAGCTTTGTTTCTGAAGCCAATTCTTTTCCATCATTTTTGGACATCATTCAGAGCTATAACAGACTTTCAGGGTGTTTAAAAGCATTCATCCATGACAACAACAAATGCTAATTATCATAAAAAATAAATGGCTCCTGTTAACATCATTTTAAGAATTTCTCCTATTCCAGCACTATATTTCATTTATCATCCCATCTGTTTTGGGGGTGGGAACAAAGACTGGATGAAAGTATAATTATCATGTATCAAACTGGACAACACAACAAAACAGAAATGAATACAAATGGGAGGAATAGCATACATAATAAATACATATGGAAAGGAAAAAGGAAACACGTAAATAAAATGGCACCTGTGTGTCCTGCAGTAAAAGCAGATACATAAGTCCATCATAAAGACAGTAATGTTTATCTTATTGTGTATGAGGTGGAGTTTTTCCCATTTCAGTTCACAGTCCAAGCGATAATCAGATTTCCTATCGCATCACCCAATAGTCATCTTGCTCTTTTGAGAAATTTACAAATTCTCTTTGCTGAATTCTATCATTAAAACTATACCTTGCAAATATTCACAAACTAAGCATCAAGCAAAGGTCTAATACCCAGAATCTATATGAAACTGAAATAAATAAACAAGCAACAAACAAATAACCCACTAAAAAGTGAGCAAAGGACATGAACAGACACTTCCCAAAAGATGTACATGTAGCCAACAAACACATGAAATAAATGTTCCCGAGGCAGGCAGATCACGGGGTCAGGATATCGAGACCATCCTGGCTAACATGGTGAAACCCCGTCTGTACTAAAAATACAAAAAATCAGCCGGGCATGGTGGCGGGCGCCTGTAGTCCCAGCTACTCGGGAGGCTGAGGCAGGAGAATGGCGTGAACCCGGGAGGCGGAGCTTGCAGTGAGCCGAGATCGCGCCACTGCACTGCAGCCTGGGCGACAGAGCGAGACTCCGTCTCCAAAAAAAAAAAAAAAAAAAAAAAAAAAGAAATGTTCAACATCACTAATCATCAGAGAAATGCAAAACAAAACCTCAATGAGATACCATTTCACACTAGTCTGAATGGCTATTATTAAGAAGTCAAAAAATAAATGTTGGCAAGGTTGCAGAGAAAAAGGAATGCTTGTACAGTTTGGTGGTAATGTAAATTAGTTCAGCCATTGTAGAAAGAAGTTTGGAGATTTTTAAAAGAGCTAAAAATAGAACTACATTTGACCCACCAATACCATTACTGGGTATACACACAAAGGAAAATAGATGATTATATCAAATAGACACATGCATGCATATGTTCATCACAGCACTATTCACAACAGCAAAGACATGGAATCAACCAAGATGACCATCAATGGTGGATTGAATAAAGAAAATGTGGTACATATACACCATGGAATACTATGCAGCCATAAAAAGAACAAAATTATGTTCTCTGCAGCAACATGGATGTAGCTGGAGACCGTTATCCTAAGTGAATTACAGAGGAACAGAAAACCAAATGCTGCATGTTCTTATTTATACGTGGGAGCTAAACATTTGGTACATATGTACATAAATTTGGGAAAAATAGACACTGGAGACTACAAGAGTGGGGAGGGAGAGAAGAGGGTAAGGCTTGAAAAACTACCTATTGGATACCATGTTCATTGGGTGATGGGTTCAGTTGTACCCAATCCTCAGCATCACGCAATATACCCCTGTAACAAACCTGAACATGCGCTCCCTGATTTTAAACTGAAAGTTGAAAAAAATTCTACCTTGAGACATTGAAACATAAACAAAAAGACAAAAAGTCTACTATATATTTATAAATACATTTTAAAGGAACTCTTCTGCCTATCTTAGAGTCAGTTCTATCATATTAAATAATCAAAAACACTCAAGTTCTCAAAAATGCTGTAAAGTAAGAGGCAACAATTGGTCAGTTACAAGTGCAATGATCCCACTGCAAATAGTATTAAAAGTATGAGTAATTACATGTCCCTCAGTAGGGATTAGAAGCTCAACAAGGGCTGGGCCTTTGTTTCCTTTAGTGGCATATAATTCCTTTCATGGCATATAACTCTCCCTGGCATGTATCAGTTGATAATCAAAATTCATTGAATTAAACGTTGCATAGAATATAACAGCAATATGTTTTATTCTTCAGAGGATTTCAAGACATATTTATTCTATGAATAATTCTGTAACAACTCTAAGTTAGCATTACCACTTAAATAATCAGGCCTTTCAAATATCCAAGTATCTATGTCACCTTCAAAGCCAAGGGAGTGGCAAAGTTCCCTTTAAATAGTAACTAGTAACTAAATAGTAAGCATTGTAATAAATTTAATTTGAGGTCAGGACTCCATTAAATGTATATAATTAACTAGCTATACATATGTCCCTATTTATATTTGCCTCAATTATACAATTGAGAATATAATTTAAAGCAGGGATAGATCATTTACATGAGGCTGTATTTTACCAAACTATTGTAGGACCTGATTGCAAATCCCATTATCTATTTAGTGAATCACTTAAGAATCATATATATTAAATAAAAATGCCACACATGTGCATGTGCACACATACACATAGGATAGTGAAGAAAGGTAACATGTCTATAGACGTTTTGAATACTTGTCAATTTTCTTCCTCCTACGAGGAGTTTAAGGACGATAATAAATACAAAATATCACATGTATGATATACATATCTGTGTGCATGGATGTATGTATATAATGTATCCATTATAAGGATATATGATGTTTGGACCACCTATACATGAATTACGTCAGGAAGGAATGGAGAAGTAAACAATCCACAGATTAACAATGCATATGTATCTATATTTATATATTTTTGTAGATGACCATCCCTAAGCATAAGTGGACCAACTTGAAACAGGATCCCTTGGATCATTTTATTACACATACTCACAGAAATCATTCATATAGAACCTGACATTCAAAATTTAGAACACGGAACTTTACCAGTGACAAAGAAGTAATGATTTAGGAAGAAAGCAATATAATAAATTTAATAGGTTTAATTTGAGCTAAAAGACATATCAAACGTACTTATTTTTAAGGACTCTTAATGATGTATTCCTAATTTTTAATTATTTATAAATATTTCACATTTTTAAATAAGAAAAATTACTCTAATTTGTATCTAGATGCATTTCACTCTTTCTTAACTAAATGAAAATGTTTTTGAAATTATTTTCTGTTTTTTTAATCCTGTAGCTCCCAGTTTCCTATTCCTTTGAAAGAGTTCTGTCAATTTGCAGATGATCAATTTTATTGGCAAATGGGCAAATTTCTGCACAGAGTTCTATATACTGCATGCATGAACAAAATGTGCTCCTGGCATCCTTTGAGATAATTTAAATTCAAATGAAATTCAATCTCAATGTAATTATGAAAGTGTAGTCAAGTGTCCTGAAATAAAATGTTTTTATGTTCTAATTTAAAGAGCACTGTTTATATTGTTGATAAGCATCTTAAAGTAAAATTAATTATCACTCTATAGTAAGCAAAATAGTATGCAGCTGCTTCACCAATGTAACTTCCAATGAAAATTAAAATTTCATTTTTATTGTTACTTTCTTGTATTTCTCTGAGACTTGTTTTTAACTGATAACTCAAGATAACCATTTGTATGCAAAAATAATAAAATGCATTAACACAAGAAAGCATGCAACCTGTAGTTAGCAAATATTTATTAAAATATTCCTTTAACTCACCGAACTAAATATCATTTAGTAAATTCTATTTTCTAAGTCTCTAAATGACATCTACACAAAAGCAGTTCCACAAACCTGAGTGTTTCAGTGAATATTACACTGTTCCACATATGAGTAAAAACTTTTCAAACCTTAACATGCCTTATAAAGTTTGTTACATTTTATATGCATTCTCTGCACATAAACAGCCAGATAAAATAGTGAGGCATAATTCTGAATTTCTTGGCAAGTTTCACTGACTCATCACAAGGCCTTGCCTTGAGAAACTACCCTAGCAAAAACTTCATTGCAGAAAAATTCTTTGAATAAGCATTTCAGAATGGGCCTGGTGGCTCACACCTGTAATCCCAGAAGTTTGGGAGGCCAAGGCGGGTGGATCATTTGAGGTCAGGAGTTCGACACCAGCCTGGCCAGCATGGTGAAACCCTGACTCCACTGAAAATACAAAAATTAGCCAGAAGTGGTGGTATATACCTATAATCCCAGCTACTTGGGAAGCTGAGGCAGGAGAATTGCTTGAACCTGGGAGGCAGAGGTTGCAGTAAGCTGAGATCTCACCCTTGCATGCCAGCCTGGGTGACAGAGCGAGACTCACTCTCTCTCTCTATATATATAGCAACACACACACACACACATACACACACATACACACACACATTATTCAATATGATCTAAATTGTTAGACCATATTGTTTTTGAATACATGGATTCTTACTTTTTACATGATTGGAATTCTAAATATATATAAATGTGTGTATGTGTGTGTGTGTGTGTGTGTGTGTGTGCGTGTGTCTGTGTCTGTCTATCTATCTATCTATCTATCTAATATTGCGTACTATATCTATCCTTCATCCAACCTACCAAACTAGCTGATCTTTCACAGGAATTTAAAAAAATGCTTATTTTACAAATACAGAGAAGTATTCAATATAGGTATTCTTTGTTTAGATATGTGAAATTAGGATTGGTGTTTGATTCTTTCTTTCTACCCGCTAGTTTAATTTTCAAAAATCAAAACAAAACATAAAAGAATACAATAAGAACCTGGAATGCGCTTCAGAAAATTATCTATATTTAAAGCATAACTCCAAGAGCTACTGATTTTTCTTACCAGTGCTGTCATCATACACAACCGTGACGGTTTTCCACTTGAAAAACTGCACCAGGTCTAAAATGGCACGGCTGAGTGAAGAGAAGTCTGGGTAGAGACTGACATAGAAGGAATCTTTGTTGTCTGACACCTGGTGCTTCCAGCGGGTCTGTATGTGGGGAACTCCCAGAGCATTGCAGATGGACTGCACTGCGTTTGCTGATGAGCTGTGTGAAGGCCCGAAGATGGCAGCCACCCCAAGAGACAGCTGATCACAGGCTGAAGAGGAGATAAAAGTCTGTCAATACTGAGAGGAGAGATGCCAGTTTGCCAGCAGATACATTATTATTTTAAACCCAAAGGTATCATCCTCAAGAAATATTTGTGTTTTAGAAAAATATTTATCTACTTTTCACTAATTTAAAATTTTGTCTGACTCTGAACATTTCCATTTGTTACAAGGGAATTAACTAACCCAGATGCCTGCAGCTCAATGTTCAAATAATTCTATAAATAATGCCAGGGGAGGGAGAGAGAGAAGGAGAGAGAGGATGAATACTTTTTTTAATTTAAGGGGGCAGTGCTTGTTTTGGAAGACTAGTTTATATGAGGGGAATGAGGGAATAGTGCAGCTTCTCAAATTCACTGAACAGCTTTTACATTTTCCATTTCTTAATCAAAAGCCACATGGTTCTCCCTTTACCCATGCATTTAACTATGCTCACACACAGCTGAATATTTCCATATATCTGATGATACAGATCAGGTTATGTGAACACTCAGCCACACAAACCCTGTTATAGCTCTTAGAGAGTGATTTCATATGGATCAGTCTCATTGAGTAGAAAACCAGCAAAGTCATTAGACAAGTACTCAGTCATCTTTATATATTTGGCTTTTGGATGCTATAAGTGTTTTCTATTATTCTAAACTATTTTTTAAAGTTTATATTTACTCACAAAAATTTTATTCATATCAATAATAACCACAGTAATTAAGAAAGGCGTGAACAAACTAGAGGGTATTCAGATTAAAATAGACTGTGCCCTGACCTGAACTTTCTATAAGGCACACTGACACAAATAGCGAGCTTGGGCCTAGAAAGTGAGTAACTATTGGGAACACAAAAATTATCTTTAAATATTTGAAGACCTGGCATGCGAAAGAAGCTTAAGTTTGTTTCGCTTGACGGGCAAAGGGGAATTAGAAAAAATAGAAACTTCCCCTGAATTTTTACCCAATTATTCATTTATTTATTTATTTATTTATTTATTTATTTATTATTTACTTTTCTGAGACAGAGTCTCAGTCTGTCTCCCAGGCTTGATTGCAGTGGTGCAATCTTGGCTCACTGTGACCTCTGCCTCCTGAGTAGCTGGGACTATAGGCACGTGTCACCATGCCTGGATAATTTTTTGTATTTTTAGTAGAGACAGGGTTTCAACGTGTTAGCCAGGATGGTCTCGATCTCCTGACCTCGTGATCCACCCTCCTCAGCCTCCCAAAGTGCTGGGATTACAGCCGTGAGCCACCACACCCAGCTTATTATTATTTTTAATTCTAAATATGGCCTCATGCCATGGTTCACACCTGTAATCCCAGCACTTTGGGAGGCCAACGCAGCAAGATCGCTTGAGACCAGGAATTCGAGACCTGCCTGGGCAACATAGTGAGACCTCCTCTCTACTAAAACTAAAACTAAAACTAAAACTACAAAAAAAAAAAAAAAAAAAAAATTCAGCTGGGCATGGTGCTGTGTGCCTGTAGTCCTAGCTACTTGGGAGGCTGAGGTGGGAGGAGCACTTGAGCCTGGGACACTGAGGTTGCAGTAGGCATGATGTTGCCACTGCTGGCCTACCTGGGTGCCAGACCAAAACTGTGTATCAAAAAGAAAAGAAAAAGTAAAACATGTTCAAAAATGAAGTAGTCTTCCCCAAGAGGCAATGGTTTGCCCATCACTGCAAATATTTAAAGGACAGAGAAGGATTGTTATTGCGCTTTAGGCATAAAGTAGGTGTTCAGTCTCAATTCCTCCAAAATGGATAGTTTATAATTCTACTGTGTGAAAATTTCTGCTATTTTCCCTCAGTTTTCTGCATAAAATGTAATATTATAGATGACTTACGCATGGAAATATTTAATAATAAAGTAAATTATTGTCAGGAAAAAACACTTGTTCAAATATTCTTAAAAAATCAATATGATCTAAATAAATTGTTTTTAAATACATGGATTCTTACTTTCTAAATAACTCATGGAATTGTAAATTAGTATAAATGGTGGCTAGACTTTAGAATTTTTCACTCAACGTGAGATTTTAATTAATACATATTGAAGATAAATGATCTTTCTTCGCCAGGTTTGTGACAAATCACAAACCAAGAAAAGCTAAAAACACTGAATTAGGTTATTTAGAATGTTTCTAAGTGTGTTTCAAGCAAGATTAGAGCTTTCAGTTATCAGAAGAGTTATTTAAAAATATATGATTCAAACAATAATTCAAGCTCTAATACATCAATTTATTAATTGAGCAGAACAAGATTACCTATTAAAACTGTAACAGAAAAAATAGATTAAATGTCAAACTGTAACATCTCATTTCTTACTATTTTATTGGATAAATAATTACATTTTTAAAATATCTAACTTAATAAGTTATTTTATAACTAATCAATAACAATATTACCAATATATACATTTCTTGATAAAGTTAAAAAACCATATTGGTTCTCTCTGCTATATTGTGTTTTTATGTATTGCTGTGTCTTCCGAGCAATAATAACTCAACAACTCAACAAACAAGAGATTTAGAAGATAAAATCCAAACCATGATATTCACAAAGAAAGTTACCCATACACTTATTTGAGCTTTTCCTAGCTTCAAGCCAAAGTGAAATGATGGATTTGATTCTCAGTGAGTTTTTATTGGATAACAAAGCTTGTAAATTTCTTATAATATTTTAATCAAACCACATGACTTTATCACTTCATAATTTTGCTAGGGCATTCTCAGGATAGTACTCTGTTGTGAGAACATCCAAACCTGTATTTTTTAATGCTATTCATTTGAAACCACCGTTAAGAAATCTACTAATATTTTATCTATACTGCACTCACACTCCATATTCTTTGATCGAAATGTTTTCATTAGAGGCAGAACTTCTTCCTAATGGAAACAATCATGAACTATGTCACTAATCAAATGTAATAGTCTTGACTTAATGACTTATTTTGCAATTATGATGATAAATGTAATATTTCACAGTTACCTTTAACCTTTTTCTCAGCCTTCAAAACCTTTCATCACCTGACATGGTTCTGAAATGTGGAAACTTATTTGTATTCATAAAGATATGAATTCAAAGGGCATGCAAAATATGGCTTTGATAAACACTAGTTAGCTGCTGGGGGAAAAGAAGGATACTTTCATCTCAAGAAATATTATACCTTGTCAGTTACATTAATATTAATGAGCTTTAAAAAACTGCACTAACCTGGAATTATAAATAATTATGTACTTTTCCATCAATATAAGGTAGCTACAGTAAAACCATATTAGCATTACAGAAAGGCAAATATTGTTTAAGAATATAATGTTAGAACAAATGCTTTGTAAGCCTTTTCCTTTGAGAAAAATCTTTATTATAAAATTTAATTCCTATTATAAAAGTGCTAACTATGCAAAAGAAAAGATCACCTACTATAAGATCATCTACATATACAAGAAAAGATGGCCAGGCGCGGTGGTTCAAGCCTGTAATCCCAGCATTTTGGGAGGCCGAGACAGGTGGATCACGAGGTCAGGAGATCGAGACCATCCTGGCTAACACTGTGAAACCCTGTCTCTACTAAAAAATACAAAAAACTAGCCGGGTGTGGTGGCGGGCGCCTGTAGTTGCAGCTACTCAGGAGTATGAGGCAGGAGTATGGCATAAACCCAGGAGGTGGAGCTTGCAGTGAGCTGAGATCTGGCCACTGCACTCCAGCCTGGGCAACAGAGTGAGACTCTGTCTCAAAAAAAAAAAAAAAAAGAAAGAAAAGACTACCCCCATAAGACTATAGAAACACTTCTCAAACACATTTACTGCTGGTAGCTGTTTAAAATAAATGCTTTAATAATAGTTTTCTCTGTTGCCTTCCTTCATATATAAATATTAAATTTTTATTCCACCAAATTATTTTTCTTTTTAAATTTCTTTCTACATTTTTTACATTTAAAAGTTATAATACAGAAATAAAATTCATAAAATATTCTAATTATGTCCTTATATAATTCAGTTTTTACATCATCAGTCATTTATTTTCAGTTACAAAAAGAAATATTAGATGATTAAAATATGAGCATGGAATATACACAAACTAATGGTTGCTTAAAATTTTCCAATTAAGTTTCAATATATGCTGACATTTTGAAGTCACTTAGAACCACATAGCTTTCAAGGTAGCCAATGAGTTGAGACCACAGTAATAATATAATGGGATTGACAGATAATGCAAATAAAGACGTAAGAATGGATTGCAAAATTGGTAAAATCCACTGATATAAATTTTATTTGGGTTCTTAAAAATAGGAATGCTTCAATAATAAGACAGAAGGATCGATAGAAAAAAAAGAAACAATTTCACTAACAGATGTAATTGTATTTCATGCTATAAGCACATTTTTTACAATAGGTGATTATACCACTTTATCTTCTCTGATAAAATTTATGTGAATTTTGAAAATAAATCTTTGTATGCAAATACTCCTAACAATTTATTAACTATATGTTGAAAATAAAAAATATCTTAAGAATACCTAGAAATTTGAATTCCAGAAAACAAAGGTGTTAATAATCTATCAATTACCTTTCTTGGATGCTTCAAAACTATCATAAAGGTTTATCTTCTGGGTATCATAGGTAAGGGTAGTATTGGGTAGCAATGTTCTGTTTCTGTTAATTGTATTCACAGCAAATCTGAATGCAAGTTCCTCAGCTCCCATTGGGCCAGATTCCACATATTCAAAAATACCACCTGGCAAAAAGAAAGAGAATCATCATCATTTTTACAAGAATAAATATAATTTTTATAAGATAAAGAAAATATCAGAAGTTTTCTGTACTTTTATATATGTGCATGTGCATTTGTGTGTGTGTGAGTGTGTGTATGCATGAGAGAGACAGAGAGAGAGAGACAGAGAAAGAAAGAGAGACAGAGAGAGAGAGAGACTTAAGTACATGGAGTTTGTGCTTACTTTATGAACTTTGGGATATTCTCTTTCAGCCACAGCCATATTGGTAAAATTGCCTTAGTATTGCTGCCAAAATTTAACATGATTTTGACTTTTTTTCTTTAGTTATTACTTATTTTAGGGCCTAGGTATAGAGAGGTCTTGACTTAAGTACTGAAATTTATCCCCCCCAAATTTATTAACAGTCCTAGAATAATCAGTCCTCTTCATTGACATATACTATAAAATTAAGCATAGAAAAAAATGTGTTAAATGTTGTCTCCATTCAGAAATCAAAATTCTCTTGCACAACTTTTTTTTTTTTTCTTCTTTGAGACAGAGTCTCTCAGTTGCCCAGGCTGGAGTGCAGAGGCGCAATCACAGCCCACTGCAGCCTTGACCTCCTTGGGCTCCGGTGATCCTCTCACCTCAGCCTCCCAAGTAGTCAAGACTACAGGCACGTGCCATCATGTCCAGCTAATTTTTGTATTTTTTGTATCCATAGTGAGGGTTTCACTATGTTGCGAGTCTCAGACTCCTGGGCTCAAGCGATCTGCCTGCCTTGGCCTCCCAAATTGTTCGGATTTACAGGAGTGAGCCTCTATGCCCGGTGGCATAGTTCTTATGGCATTTATTGTGTTAAAAGCCGAAATTATTTGCAAATTTCAGCATAGTTGTTTTATTCTAAGTCCCTTTTAAGAAGACACTTGACATTTATGAAGGATGCCTCTCCAAAACAACGCAACTCCTTTAATCAATGAATAAAACTGTAGTATATAATTTTGGCCATAAAATATAGAGTATAATTTTAAAATATGTCCCTTCAATTTGTGACCTTCCACCAGCTGTGTCTCATTCCAGTTCCCTCACTCTTGTCACAGCGTTCCTTCTCTCTAATATCACTGCTGTCTCATTAGCTGGGAGTGACCAAACTGAGGCTTTTGTCTCCATAAGAATCATTGTTGGTTTGGAGAATGAAATAAAAGGTGGAGCACCTGATTCCTAACCCCTCCAACCTCTGTCCTTAGGAAACTAGTACTTTAAAAATGCAGAATATTTATCTTTATTCCTTTCAAATTTCACACCATGTACTCAGTACAGTCATTCATAAATTAGACTTTTTGAATAAGCCTATTTATTCCACATCTAGCAATTCATGCCTCATCAAAGATATTTTGACAGATGAGTATCAGGTGACTATACTATTAGCAAACTACCTATTATAAATTAGTAAGAAGTTGTAACGTTGTAACAATCCCTCTAACTATGAGGAGTTAGGACTCAGAATAGACTAGAGGGGTGAGGCAAATTTATATTCAGGAAGAAGAGAAAAAATAATTATTTGATACCATATTCATTTGAAATATTTCTCTTATTCTGGATTTTAACCAGTTTGATGGTGTAGTTACTAAAACAATCAACTTGTGAAATAGCACTCAATATATCTGAAATCTTTGGCGACTTATGTTATGCAAAACGATAATAATTATATGTGTCTAATGAGTATAAAGAACCAACCTATATTCCTTCTGTGTATGTGGAGAAGAACAGTGGTATTCTTCTTTACTCTTTACTCTTATATATAATATTTATTTGGAGCTAGACTGGGGTTACATTCTGGCTTTGCCAATGCCTTCTGTATAATTTTGGGCAGTTGCTTAAAACCTCAGTCTGAGCTGCCTCATCTCTTAAAAAAAGAATGACAAGGAGGCTACTGCATAGAATGGTAATGAAGAATAAATGTTAGCACATACAAAACAGAGTAAGCGCTCAACAAGTGTTTGAGGTCACAATGAACCTTCAAAGCCATTCAAAATAGCATTATTTTACAGGAATTACCCCTTTGGTCAAAGATAACAAAGCTATCAAGTGATAGAGCCACTAGCAGAATCTACTCATGATCTACTCATGCCTGACTTCAAAACCCTTGCCTGTTCCACTACAAACTAGAAGTTTTCTGCAAAATTTCAGTCAGGCAAAATACACAAAACTTCCTAAAATGTGAGGTAAGATGACTTAATAAGATGTAACTAAAAATGTAAGATCTTACATATGAAACAAAAATAATTGACTAATTGTAAGGTACTTGTAAAGTTAAGTAGGAATAAAGAGGCAATTATAGAAATGCAAGCCTTAAGTGGTTTCTTATTGGCAAATAAAATAAAAAACTGCATCTTCTTTTTTTCAGTTCAAAATGGTAGTTTCTATGTGATAAAAGTATGCAATAAAGACCATATTTTGTAATATTGGATTAATATTTTACTCAATTATAATATTGAATCAACATTTGATGATAGTGAATTAAAACTTTATTATCAATCTTTAAAATAAATAATTCAAATTCC